CCCGGGGGGCCGGGTCCTCCTCCCGCCCGCCCCGGCGCGGCGTCGAAGCGCGGTCCCGCTCCGAGCGGGGAGAGTCGGGCGTCGTTCGTCCGCTTAGACGAATTTGTGTCTGAAGTAGCGAACTTTTCATAGTTATCACTACTAGTTTAAACAAATGTTCAACTGCTTTCTGTAGCACCTGTCATGTGTGATTTATTATAGTGAAATATCACGGATTGGACTTCGTGGAAAGTCTTTTAAACCAGGAATAAGCTTTCTTCCTATAAAGAACATTTTATAATATTTATCTAAAAGGAAATTAAATATAAGGTAAAAACAGTGTAAAACTCCTCTGCACAGTATGAAGAAATAGGAATATAAATTTCCTCCCAAATTCCAAATAGTAAAAGCTAAAAGGGCCATATGTTTAATGCTTTTTGTATTGCCCATGTATATATGAAATATAATATAAATCTTGGAAAAATGCAATAGAAAAATACATTAAAATACTAATAAAATTTATTTTTATTTATTTAAGCATTAAAGTATAATTTGTATATACTGAATTTTTGTAATTACATGCATGACTTCTTTCAAATATTTAAAATATAAACCAATATTCCTTTAAATATTCCTTTAAACTTTATTAAATTTGATGTCATCATTACTAATTAAGAATACACTAAATCTGTAAATACAGTAATTGAGCTAATTATCAGGAATATTACTAAACATATTATTAGGATAATAGGGGAAAATGTTTTGATTTCATATGAATTCTGGAGATATTTTATAGGATTTTTTTTTATTTTCAGTTCAAATTAAGTGAATGGAAACAGCCTTGTTTATTCCCAAATTGATATTGTATTTATATCTACAATTACTCAATATTTTGAAGACAAAAATGTCTACAACAATATCAAAATAGGTGAAAAAAGGAATTATATATATCATGAAAATATAATTTTAAATAGCTAAATATTTCTCAGAAATTTTCATATTTTTGAAAATATAAAATACTGTAATTTTTGTTTAAATTTTCCACCCTCCTAAAAATGAGGATTATGAATTTTTAAAGACCTGAATTACTTTTATTTTGTGAATTTTTCTTCAAGGTTGTAGATTAAATAAGGAGTGTTAAAAGTTAGAACTGAAAATCAAAGTGAAAAGATTGTCTCATTAGCTCCAGTTTTTACTACAATTGGGTATTTCAATTTTATATATGCAAATTTGTTTTGAAACCCTAGGTCTTAATAATTTTAGTCTTTTTTCTTCTTCATAGAAATATGGGTGGCTGATTTGTTACCTTCTCAGGAAACACACTGCTTAGCTTTTATCTTGCATGCATTGGGAATATGTTAAATCAGAAGTCTTGAGGGATTCCACTCCTAATTTTAATTGGAAAGCATATTCTAGATTGTATTGTTCTTAAATTATAAATAATGATGATTTTACTATTCATAAAATTAATATAAGTAACTTTTTATTCTAAAAAGCCTTACTAAATAGTGAGATAAACTAGGAATAGAATCTTGAAGTTTTTTATTTCTGCATTTCTACTTAGGTACTTACAGCACACATATTTATGACATTTATATATAAATTTCTATTAATTGCAAATTAAATGTATTCATATAAAATTTCACAGTGTATAAAATTTATGTACAATATAGAGTTGAAACATGTTTGGAGACATCTCTGCAGAGTTATGTTTCAGGTATACTGGGTATTTTAGATCATCACTGTATTAATCACAGTGAAGTGATGTAAGGATAGACACAGGTCACATCAGCTTCAGACTTCAGTGAAACGGTTCCCCTTTGTGTCTGGTGAACGAATGGATCCTTCCCTGAGTACTCCAGGTTCAGCTGTGGGTGGAAGCAACGGTGTGTGAGCGTTCGCCAACCCGAAGCCTGGCAGCCCTTTGGTGCTGAGGATGGTCTTTTAGAAGCCTGCTGTTTTCAGCTTCATCACTGATATTTACATGTCAAGGTGTCACCACGATGAGCAGTGAGGGTGCATATAGGAGATCCAGTGTTGCAGTGTGGGCCAAGAGGAAGGGTTTTATGTCAGCCTTGGTGCTTTAACTGCACTGGCAGGTGTTCCCTGGGCTTCTTGCTCTTCTAACATTAATCCCTGTGGCTTGATTTGTTTTGCCTCAACATGCAAATCTCACAGTGTCTGTGGGTCAGGAGTCTGGGACAGGCTCCTTGGCCCTAAGTGTGTGGTCTCACCAGGCTGAAATCAAGGTCTGTTGATACTGAAATCTCACCTGAGGCTCTGAGTTTTCTTCTAATCTCACTGGTTTTATTGAGAGGCTTTTTTTCTCTCCAGCTGTTGGACTAAGACCCTCAGTTCCAAGAGGTCACCTGTCATTCCTGAGAGGTGGACCTCTTCAAAAAGTGGCAGTATGCTTGTTTAATGTCTTCGGCTCGAGTGTGTCTGCCAGTGCTTAAATCTTTCAGTTCTCTGTCTCTGACCTCTACACCTTCTTTCTAGTGCTCACCAACTTAGGTAAAGGCCACCCGGGTAACTGCCTTCTTTACTTCCCAAAAAAGTTTTTAAAATTTAAAAATTTTTTGATTTACACATAATGTTTGTACACATTTTTGAAGCACAGTGTGATATTTTGACTCCTAAACTCAAGATAACTGGCATATCTATCTCCTTAATTTTTTATTTCTTTATGAAGTAAAGTTCCTCTCTTTTATTTTGAGGTATATTATTTATTATTATTGTTACTTATATTCACTGTGGTCTGATTTTTAATAATATCCAGAATAAAGGAAGTACACTTATTAACTCCTTTTTATAGAGTCTGCTTTCAAAATGACCATTAAGTCATTGAGAAAAAGAAAAGTAAAAAGTAGTAAGGAGAACGTTTTACCTATTTTTGGCCTTTTTCTCTAGGCTCGAAGAGAATTACATTGTGTGTGAAGGCGTCTGCTTACCACGGTGCATCCTTTACGCACACTACCTGGATTTCTGCAGGAAGGAGAAACTGGAGCCAGCCTGTGCAGCCACCTTTGGGAAGGTGAGCAACACCTATCAGCCACCACCTTGTGGCTAGAGGCAGGTGAAGCAGATGGTCCAAATCTGAGCAAGTTCTTTGAAAAGAAAGCTGAAGTGTTTGCTCTGCAGGCACAAGTGAAAGCCCTTAAGTGCTGTTTGGAACTGCTGCTTGGTTGCTCCTTGAGGTTGATATTGAGCAGTGTAACCCTGACCGCTGGGAGCTCTGATGTGGGCTTACAGCAGGCTCGTTTCCCTTGAGCAGCGATACTTTAAAGAGGGTGGTATGGCTGTGTGGGGAAGCAAAAAATGGAGATGACTGATCATGCAGTTAGGGGTTCTCCATATTACTTCGATTGTCTGAGTCTATGAGTTTTTGTTACCTAAATAGTTTTCCTAAGTGTCTATTGTACTCCCAGTATGCTGACACCCCAAATTTGAAGACTTATGATGGGGTTGGTTACATTTCTCTCATTTAGAATCCTTCCTTTTGGGGCTGGGGATTTAGCTCAGCGGCAAAAGTGCCTGCCTCGCAAGCGCAAGGTCGTGAGTTCGGTTCCCGGTACCGGAAAAAAACCAAAAAAAAAAAAAAAAAAAAAATCCTTCCTTTCTACCCACACTCTATGGACTGACACTACTATATGTATATATGCTGATATTTTGAGTCTCAGGAACTAATATTCATATTTTCAGGAAGCCTTATTCTCTCAGATCCTTGTCATGGTTCGTTGTCTGAGAATCAAGGATTTGCTAGAGGATCTGTAGGAAGGTTGGAACTCAAATACTGTATTTCACATCAACAGAAATCCAAATTCTAACGTGTGCTTTCAGGGTTGGAGATGGGTATTTGATCACGGGTGAAACTGAGGATGGATGGGATCACGGTAAACAAACCCAAGTCTTCATTCTCCACACCTTGTCTCAGTAGTGATCTCAAGCAAAAGCACTGCGGGGAGCATCTGCTTGGTTGGCACAGGGAGGACAATGTGCCAGTCAGAACACCTCCCTGCCTCTGCTGATGCTTCTTACCCCCATGTATAAGATTCTGCATAGCAGTTTCCTGGAGTTCAACACTCTTTCTCAGATTAATTGGTTATGAGTGGCTTTCATTAGTAAAACTAAAGTAATTTAGTAATTGTCTTTTTTTTTTTAGACAATTCGCCAGAAATTCCCTCTCTTAACAACGAGACGACTTGGAACAAGGGGCCATTCAAAGTAAGACATGTGGATGAAAAGCAGATTCCCTCTTTGTCCTGAGGCTATAAAATAAATATTGTCTTATCAGTGAGCAGAGCCAGGTATTTTCTTCATAATAAAGCAGACTTCTACTAACTGTAAGAACTAAAAAAAGGCTATTTCAGAATAACATTTAGAAAGAAAAATTTACAAAGAAACATCATATTACTGTATCTGCTAACATAAGTGAGTCGTTTTCATACTCCTGAAGCTGCTTCTGAAGACAAGAGTGTCATCAAAGTGGATAAGAAGACATGCCGTGACCAGGGCAGGGCCGCACCAGGGGCAGAGGGCGTGGGAGACAGAAGGGGCTCCGCACACTTCGCCTTCTGCTGCTAGCTTTTGCTTCAGATAACGTTGTCTTAATTTCTTCCTTTTCCCCCAAGACAGATGATCCGCATGAACGACACCTTTGCTCTTCTCTTAATGTAAATACGAACATAAAATAAGCTGTCACATGTTCCTGTTTGGTATCTTCTGCATTTCTTCTTGTTGCTAGTCTTCTCTTTGCTATTTCTTGAGAGGGAAGCTACCAGTCCTGTCCCTCTGCCACTTACCACGTCTTCCCGTCCTGCTCTGCTCCTTTCCACCATGTGGCTGCTGCTGCTGCTGCTGTGCTAATACGCTCTTCAGATGATGCACACAGAAACGCTGGTCTCTGCCGGTACCAGTGCAGCTGTCCAGCTGTCCTTCCCCGGTGGCTTTTCTAGTTTCTCCACCGCCTCCTGCTCTAATGCTCAGCCCAGTGCTGACCAGCAGAAGCACAGTGCAGCCTCATATCCAGTTCAAAGTGTCTGCTAGGCACAGACTTAAAAAGTAAAAAGGAATAGGTGAAGTTAATTTAATAAAGTTTTGTGTCTAAAACATTACCATCTCACTGTCTACCAGTATACAGTTGTGAAGGGGATATTTGACATTTTCTCCTTCAGGCGAGCGTTTGAAGCCCTGTGCATTGCACAGCATTTCGCATGCTCAGTGCTCATACGGATCTAGGCATATTTAGAGGCTGCCTTCTGTTAGTCCCTTGCCAACATACTGGTCCTGTGTTTGGTTTCTCTTCAGTTTGTCTCCTATTCCAGGTCATAGGCAGGCCTGACTCTGTGTTCTGGCCCATTCGGGACAATTTTTCTAAATCAACTTTCTTTTTTTTTTTTTGGTTTTTCTCCGGTACCGGGAACCGAACTCACGACCTTGTGCTTGCCAGGCAGGCACTTTTGCCGCTGAGTTAAATCCCCAGCCCCCTAAATCAACTTTCTAAAGTTCATGTTTGATAGTTTTCTCCCATGCTCAGAAACTCACTGGCCCATAATTTCTACGATTGAGGGTAAGTTTTTCTGCCTTCTCACCTCCACTGTGATTCCATTCTGACCCATTTTCCTGTCTCACCATTTTCTTTTCACTAGTGTGCATGTAGTCCATAGTCTCTTGGGTTACTACCTGGTACACTTTGCTTCACCCCGCCTGTCATTTATTCCTGTTCAGCCCCGCATCCCGACCCACAGAAAGCCCACGCTGAAATCTTACCATTTAGAAGTGTCTGGTGAATGTTTTCTTTTGCATATTTGTTGGTCTGTTGGTTTGCTCTTGGCTGCCTGTGCCCTCAGAGCCATCTATTGGTGCCCACCTCAGAGTGGCATTGTCTCATCCCCTAAGCAGATAGTAATCATTTTGAGGATAGAGATTTTGTCTCCTTCATTTTTATGGCCTTTCTGCTGCCTGTACATAATAGATTATCAGTTAATATTTATTTAACTGATTTCAACTAATGTTAACAGTATTGTGGCCTGAGAATGAGATATAAAGCAGATTGAAACAGATAAAATTGATCTCTTTTAAAACAAGTCAGTGTTATTTCAAAATTGACTCAGTGTAGCTTTATGATTTCTGCTAAATTTGATTCCTACTGAATTGTATAAGTAGAGAGAGATCAGGCAGTGTTTGAAGTCGAAAGATGGGGAAACAGGCAAAGCCATGCAATGAAATCATGTCTCCACAAGATCCAAGAGGGGGCTTGCGGGCTGCAGAGAAAGTCAGTTAATCCTAAAAGGAGCCTTGAGGATTAGGGATGAATCATTAACCCTGTCCATTGTGACACTGGTCAGGCTTTAGTGCTCAGGTTGATAGAGCAACATTTGGTGACTCCTGGCAATTTATTTGGATATTTGAGAGCCGTAGGTGTGACTAAGGTCAAAGCATTAACAATTGTTTTACCTGCCTTACTGATGGAAGGCTGTTTGCTTTTTATGAAATGCTTACTACATTTTTGGTATTTTTATAAAATAAATTTCCTTATCTGAACTGTCTTTTGATAGAGCAAGATGTAGAATTTATGTGTCTTGTAAACAGTAACATTTTGATGTCATTATTCTCAGCTGGGTAATTTTTCTGACTTTATTTCCAAGAGATAGGCTGAGGCTTTATTTTGGAAGATGGTACATTAAAAGGCATCGTAGTCTAGTGGTTAGGAGGATAGGACTTAAAATGGGGCAAATTCAAGTGTGAATCTCCTACTCCTGCAGATAGCTGTGTGATGCTGCTTTTCATCAGTAAAGTGACATACAATGTCTCCTATGACTGTTGTGAGAACTAGATGAGAAAAGTATAAGAATGAATGGAAGAACAAATATGTTTTCTACTTCACTATCCTTAATAATGAAATTAGTTACTTAATATATAAAAAAGCTGGTAATGCAATCAAAAGTTAGTTTATTGAATGCTGCACAGGTATACACATGCACACTCATTGTCTTCAATCTTTCCAATGAGAACATAAGACTGGAATTACTGAGGAAACTGAGGTTTGAAGAGTATTGACTTGCCCCTGGCCGGAAAAGATACTACCCAGTCACAGCGCTGACATTTATGTGAAGGTTCATCTGACTCTAAAACTTATGCTTGTTTATCTAGGAAAAGTAAGAAAGGCTGCCTCTTTCTGATACCAGTCATATCAGCAAAACTGTTGGGTGAAATTTGTGATGCCTGAAGTATAGGTTTTATTAAGTTTTCTTAGTGACCTAATGTTCTTAAATTTTACTACGTTAGCTTATTCTTCACAAAGCGAGCAACACATCATTAAGCCTCAATCGTTAATGTTATGTAGAGATATTTATGTAGAGGTACATTTTGCAACACCAATGCAATTTTACTTTTTGCTTTTCAATTTTTATCTAAGAATTATTTTATAATTTACAGCCACCATACAATAGCTGTTTAATATATCATACATTTATATTCTATGAAAAATATTTTTATGTCTGTAGAATAAAAACAACTGAATGAAGGAGAATTATAGATAAAGTAAACATATCTTGGAGAATCAGGAAATCGTAATTTCTCCCCATTTTGCAAAACTTATTTTGTTGTTGTAGTAACATTTAATTTAACAATGCTAAGGAAACTATTACTAAATATTTTAAAAATTCTTTTAAAACATAAATTTGCTATTCCATTATTCTGAATTTGTTAGATGGCATATTAAATATATTAATATTATGTAACTGTACCGGTGAGGAAGGAAAACAAATTTTCAAGTTTTGCCAGCTTTTCATAGAATAGAGCATGTCAAATCACTTCATCAGGATTGTCACACAGGATTGGCACTTTGTATTGTGATTAGTTTAAAAGGCTTTTCTGTATTCAGGGACTGGGGAGCCTCACTGTTTCTGACTTCAGGTGTCTTAGGGCTCGTGGAGCAAGGTCATTCTCCAAATTCATGTCTATGTATGAAATCCCAAATTTAGAAAACACTGATCTGTGTAACAGAGGGCTTGTTTGTAGAGTCTACAGACAACTGAATTTGTGTTCAGCTCAAAACCCTGTCTCTCTGGTTCTGAAATAACTGCACCTCATGGTGACTGTCCCCACAACTCTCATCTTGCAGCAGCCACCACTTATTAACAGTGAGAGTTTTTTTAAAAGTTCAATTAAATAAAACAAGCTGAAAATTTATTCAATCAAAAGGAAGAGATAAAATATTTAAAACAAGTGATCCATGAAAGATTTTAAAAACCCTGCGTATGTAATCACTGTATGTAATCACTGATGATTACACTGTATGTGATCACTAATGTCCACACATTATCCCCTGTTAAGATTAGATGCAGTTCGAGATGGGATGGTTTTATCCCTGGGTGTAAGTTTGATGTTTTGCATAGGAAACTACTGCTGCCAACGTTTGTGGGCAAAGCCTCCAGAGGTTAACAGATGTAACCAGGAAGCCTCACTCCAGAGCACACCCACTTCATTTTCAGGTTTCTTTCTTTTTTTCAATTGCTAATTCTTATTGGTACACATTTGCAGCACGTGATGATCACATTCCACGTGGGCGGTTCATACGTGCACATCACACAATTAGTTCCTTGTTTCTTCCTTTTTTCCCCTTGATTGCCATCAATGCCAACAGTGTACACCTGGTTTTATTCTCTGTAATATCTTAAATTGTGGTTTTCAATAAAAATGAAACAACGTTTTATAGGTACAGTACAGTCATAGAGTGATTCTTGAATATTTTATGATAGTAAATATATCACATCAGGAATAATCAATTCATGTTTGTATTAATTTGGTTAATAAAACATAGTTCTAAAAATTTTTTGAGATGCAAAGAACTTTCAGATAGGGGAAAAGTCCTTTTCACTGTTAATACCAGTTATGTAGTAAGACTTTCAGGAGACCCTCAGGGGAAGCTGGGCGCTGGGCACAGAGGCCTGCGAAGAGCCTGGGTCTTCCCCGCGCTCACACCAGCTTGGGAAAAAGTCGGAAGGAACATAGTTGAGGCCACAGATGGATTTTACACGTAGGAGACTGTTCGATTTGGGTACATTTTAATTTTCTGTAGACTTGGAGCAGCCAAGTCTTGGTTTTTGGACACGGTGGACAAAGACTGTCACCTTATTTATTAGTGGTGATTTAGTGGGTTAATAAAACTGATATGGCAGCTGCGCTTATCGCAGCAAGTTATTGCAATTCTGACCAGCTTA